GTTAAAATGTATCTTTTAGAAGTCTTGTTGAAGTTTTACTGTAGATTCTTTTTAATTCCAGGCAGTCTCCTCCCTCTTCCAGATCCTGCCCTTATTCTTTTTCTCTCCCTTCCTGCTTATGAAAAAGAAAAATTTTAATGTCCAGAAATCTTTATTATTCCTTTGGCATTTTGTTTTATTTTCAGCTTAATTGCCTATTGATGTCAAAGCAGATTTTTCCGATTTCTCAACTAAGTCTCTTAGTTGTCAGTATAGGGAAGGAGAAGAAAAAAAAAAGCCAAACCTTTCCCTTTTCACTTTCCTTCGCTGCTTCAGACTCTTCTTTGGGAGCGGTGTTATTTTTTGTAAGTTTAAATTCCAGGGTACCTTAGTTGTTGCTTTTACAATTTAACCTGGTCAGCCAAAACTTTCACTTCTTATCTTCCTCCTGCACATTCTTTTCCAGTCAAGTTCTCCTTTGTGGTGGCCATTTCTGACTACCGCTGCAACCGCCTTCGGGAAAGGGAGTAATGGCCAGCTGAGTAGGAGAGATGCGGCTCTCGTCAACCCTGCTGGCAGTCTCCCCCCTCTTCACCACCTCTACGGGGTGGCTTAGCCCCGAAACCAGCCGGCTCGGGGCACTTCAGCAGCGAGCCCAGACAGAAACCACGCACAATTGCAGATTTGTCTGTCACCGAAGCCCTTCAAACCGGAAGTCCATCACTCCACCTTTCTTGATGATGTCTTGCTAATGATTTTTCATGGATACATATGTACAATGTAGTCTTCCTTAGTCTACCTAACAGTCAAGACCACTAAATTTGTTTGTTTCTAATCTGATATAGAACTATCATTTCCCATCTTCTGTTGACACATCTTGCTGTATGCATGTTTGGCTTTGTTTGGCAATGACCATAGTAATGAATGGCAGGGCTGAGATCTCCTATTGGTTATTTATAGCTGTTGTGGACTTGCCCCCCAGAAGTGTCTGCCATCTGAACTCCTTGGTTGGCCAATTTGATTTGAGCTGTTGGACTGACACGACACCAGGAGAGCGGTAGTATCCATATTGTTAGAGAAAATAAGAAACCAGCACCTCTGAAGTGAACTTCCAGGAAGGATATGTTTTTATCTACATAGGTTGACAAGCAGACAGGTGGATCAGTAGTGATACTTCAGGGTTCGGATAGGTGGCTATGCTTATCACATCACTCTAGCAACCTATGAAAACATGCCTCTTCTATCAGCCTACAGTGGGATAATTATTGGATAGATTCCGCCCCACACACACACCTTGGGCAGGAAAATCTACCAATTGACACCTTAACTTGCCGTAAAGTAAATTACTAGCCTTGTAACTGAAGCAGAATGTTTGGCTGTGGGGACAGAGCAAATTATGCTGAGGTACTTTTCTGCTATCTTCAGAATGGATGACAGCAAATGACCAATTTTCTGGATGTGCCTTAAACAGGGTCACTGCAAAGCATCCTATTGTTGGGGAAACTAGCCCAGCAGGGAATTCTGGGATTTGAAGTCTATACTTCTTAAAGTTGCTAAATTGAAAAACGCTGCTCTTGTGGATGTTAATCAGTCCCCATACTGACAGGTGTGATTTTGCCTTTCGCCCTGTGGGGGAAGTTAACAATATGGGAGAGAAATAAATAGGAATAAAGACTGGATTATCTGTCTTAGGCCAGCTCACTAGCAGTTCAGTTCTTGTCCACAAATGCCTCATTCTTCTGTCAGTCCACATTGTTCTACAGTATCACAGCATCAAATAATAAGCAATTGGAAACAGTGCATTTTTACAAAGAAATTTTATCTTTCTACAGATGTCCAATATTCACTCTTGCAAAATCCACTTTCTGTACAACCCAGCCTATTTAGTCAAGAAATAATCTACTTTTGAAAATGAAATGAAATATACATTCTTCATTTAGATACTGGAAATATACAGATCTTCTGATTTATTTTCATCTGAGTAGTCTTATCTTAACTTTCTTATTTGGGATGTGATTTAAAACTATTTAGACTAGAGGTATACATGGAAAGTGTTGTGATATAATTTTAAAAATCCTAGTTAAATGAAAGCACTAAATTAAAACTAACTGGCTTGCCTCTCAGAGTGGTGACTCGATCATTGGAGGTTTTCAAGAAAAGATTGAATAGTCATTTGTCTGGAACAGACAAATGGGTAAAGAAGGGGTTGGACTAGAAGACCTCCAAGGTCTCTTCCAGTCCCATGATTCTATGAATATTTCTATGGATTAGGGTGCCAGATTGCATCAAATTGTAGGAGACTTGAGTTAACAATATAGCTCCAATGAAGTGCACAGCTACCATAGCTCTGTATAGGCAATTGGCAATGGATCAGGTGAACTGGGTTTTTTGATGAACAAGAACACCTTGTTATCCTAAGAAAGCTACATTACCAAGCTTAACTCAATAAATCCACTAACTAATTAACCAACAAGCCAACCAGCCAACTGGGTTAATATTTGTCACAGAAAAAAAAAAAGAAAATCCTCATATTCAAGTCCTTCCACTTACCTCTAGCAGCTCTTCGAATCCCATCCTCATTATTTTTTTATACCTACAGCTTAATCCAATACATCCAAGCCCCAAGCAGAACACTGAATATATAAAGGAAGAAGCGAGAAAGATTGCCATATTTGAATGATGATCAAAATGTAATAATCAAGACCAGAAAGAAAAAGGAAAAGAAAAGTATGATATATTTTGTTTATTATTGCTCTCAAAGGGCTTCATAGTCAAATATACAGGCTATGTTCTATTAAACAAGAACAAAATAGTGGAAAGTATAAAATCTATTCTTACTGTTCCAATCCAAAGAAACTGATATTCTTTATGCCATACACTGCTATTTTCAGAAATATTCTTTCACATACACTCTGCTTATTTGTTTGAAAGACAAACCAAAAAGATGAGCTATCACTGTGCAGTGTTATACACTTTAGTTGTTGAAGTGGATGTGTTTTTCAAGACTTCAAACTAAATTTACCATGGTTTTAAAAGAAAGTATGATCAGTATGTTACGATATGAAAGTAAAACAGAAATGTTTTATGTCAATATGTTTCCTCCCCATAATAGCCATGCCCTAAGCAGAAAGGGGACACTTGCTTATTCTTCCTAGCAGCAATATTCTCAATGACCCTCCCTCTAATCCCACCCTGTCCCATTTATTTCCGTCAAAATACCTGGTTTTTAATCTATCAGCACAAAACTCCTTATAATTGCAACACAAAATATGAGACCTTCCTACTTGTCTTTTGTTAAAGTATTTTCAACATCTTTGTCAGAAAGCAACTCTATACCATCTGTCAAAGGGAAAAAACTTCCAACAAGCAAGATTTATTTATCAAGCTTTTAAAAAGTTTGCCTAGTCAGAAAAAAGAATCATTCTTAATGATTTAAAAACAAATGCAAACAAAACTATTTATTGAGTGAATAATACATCATGTGTTGATTCTGCCCCTTCCACCCAAATCACTTATTCAACTTACAGTGAAGTGAATCAGAGCTCTCAGTCCTTAGAGACAAGGTGAATATGATTCTTTGTAAGAAAGATTACAGTTTATTTTGGGTCTAGTAGCACAAAGGGGAATGATGCAGCAAAAAGTTGTATTCTAAAGATGCATGTATTCTTGCAGAAAATAAATGATTGTGCATCAAACTTTTCTGTAGTAGTTCCCACTGCTAGAGATGAGTTACAAAGCTGTAAAATCAATACACCATGAAAACACTTAAAATGAGCTCCAAAAGACAGAGAACCTTAAGTGTATTGTTAGTGTTTGAAGGTAAAATCTGACATATTTACCTTTGGCTATGAAAAAATATTTAGTAGAATTATTCAAAAAATATAAACCAGATAAAGATCTAAGTTCATGAAGAATTATAGTTATAAAGCTGAATCAGATTCTGTATATATGTAGGTATGGATGGATTGAGCTGATGTCAAATTTCTTTCCAACATCAAAAAAAAAAAAGGAAACAACCATGGCCACATGCTAATAAATGAATACTTCCTTTCTAAGTATTTGCAAACATCAGTCAGCACAGCTACAGATTAAAGATATCAGCAGGCAGATTCTATGAGGTTTCTTCCTGGTGGTAAACTATTTACATACAAAATCCATTAAAGAGCTGCCATATAAGTCTAAATTTGGCTGGCATGCAGTCCACTTCGGCTTCATAGCTTTCTAAATGGAGGCACCGCCCATGCACTGGAATTGGATATGGATGCCACATAAAGCTATTTAGCTCCTCTAGATATATTTCCAAGCCAGTGAGAATTAAAAAAAAACATTATTGTAACATTAGCATGGCAGAAAATTTGTAAGAAAGATATAACCTTACCCCAACCTCCAACGTTTAGGTATTAAAGCAACTGTTGGTTTACATGGTAACATAAATGGATAACCAGGCAACTTAGATCCTACCCCATCAACATGTTTACTTGGAAAATATCTCTTCTGATTGCAGCTTAAAATATTTTCAAATAAGCATATATCAGGTTTGAGTCCTAGAGATACCAGCTTATCCCCTAGTTCTCAATGCAAGATCTTTCCATAGTGCCGTGCTGTGTTTTTTTCATATGTTTCATAACACACCATGCAGAAGACTTTGAGCAAAAGAAACATTTTGAAGAAACTCTCAAGACCCAGAGACTGAACACTCTGAGATATGCAGATCTAAATTACTGGCTCGTCATGTCACTTTTTTTTTCAAAGAAAGGAAAAAGCAAAGCAATATCTATATAAGCAATTGAGCCAAACATGTTTCAGTTTTAATTAGGATAACATTGAGTAGAAAAATGTGCAAAAATGAAAGAGACTAGAAGTGCATTAAGTTTTAGGAAGTTTTGGTTGAAAATATGCATTTATCTGTTGGATGATGCTATCATCAAAATACCAGTTTTTGTGGAAGGTAATAATTATTAAAATAAAAATACCTTTAAAATAAAATGCTTGGAAGAATGATACAGCTTTTGTTTCCCAAGTGAAATCTTCCACAAGAAACATTTGTAAATAAACTAGACACTATGATTTGCTGTAGCAAGAAGAAACATTCCATAATTTCTCTTGCAAAGCAAATGTGACACTCTTAAAAGATAAAGTTATCTGAAGATGCTTGAATTCCCTCTCTTAATTCATCTTCCTATCTGCTACAAAACAAAAAAACCCCATGAGGTTAGCCCAAATTTCTCTCAAAAACTACAAATACAAGGATCCTTGGTCGGGTAAGTAGTCAACTTTTTCCATGTCTCTTGAATCTTCCAAATTCTTCAGTCTTGGCTCAAGTATTGTTAGTTAGCAGTTAATAAGAAAAGAAGTTAAGTTTTCTAAGTGTCTTTCTTTCCAATGAAGTTAATTTGATATCACTGTCTTTTATAGTCAAAATGCATCTGTAAAATTATTTCTTTTTCTTGAATTCTTGGTTGCCATAGCTGGAGCCCTTTTCTATTTCCGTTACTCCTATCAGTCTGCGGCCTCCAAAGGACACTTTGTATAGGAGAGAAAAAAGATTGCATTATTCCAGGAGTAATTTCAACATTCAGAGCAAAATTTATGTACACATACAGATTCAAACACAATCCAAACTTCAGATTGGATATTCTCTATGAGTTTTTTTAAATAACAAACTCTTACACCCAAGATCAAATCTCTAATTTTACAAAATGAATGAATATACACATATGCATTATTTAGCCATACATTCAATTTTTTGTAAAACTTATGATGTTTCTACCAGGTATTAGAAAAAGAAAAAGCAATTCTACTGCCACATTTTACCTGAGAACCACTCTTCAAAGGAAGAAAAATGGGTCAGTAAATCCCAAATTTCTACGATGGTTGAGATAAACCCTTGCTCAAAATTTGAGTCAACACCATTCCTATTAACAAAGGGGTCTCTTCCTAGATTCACTAGTACAACTAAGCCCCCGTGAACAAGTGCCCAATGTCCAATGAATATCAGTGCCCAATGAATATCAAAAGGTAGGGATGTATTGCATCAGGGATGGGATTCAGCCAGTTTGAGCAAACCAGATGTTAATTTTACATCCAGTTCGGCAAACTGGTAGTCCTGGCGACCAGCTGGCCCCACCCCACACTGCCCCTCCCAGGAGTCCCCACACACTCCGTTCTGGATCCCAGGTAAGTGCAGGGAGGCTTCCTAGGCCCAAAGCAGGGTGCAGGGGAGGGAGTACAGTGCCCCCCCCCGAGCCCCGTTTTGGCTCCCCTGAGGCTCCAGGGAGGCTTGGTAGGTCCAAAATGGGATCTGGAGGGGTGCAGCAAAAGATAGAAAGAGAAAGAAAGAGGGAAGGATGGGAGAAAGGGAGGGAAGGAGAAAGATAAAGAGGGATGGAGGGAAGGGAGAAAGAAAAAGGGAGGGAGCGGAGAAAGGGAAGGGAGGAAGAAAGAAAGAGGAAGGGAGGGGAGAAAGAAAGAAAAAGGAGGGAAGGAAGAATGAGATATGGATGGATGGCCATATGGATAAGTGGAAAGTGAATGAGATATGGATAGAGGGAGGGAGGGAGGGAGGGAGGGAGAGGAAGGAAGGAAGGACCACAAACCCTGGCACTAGACGCAGCTTCAGAGAATGCTTTGAAACAGCATAGCAATCCAGGGCTGGAAGGGACCTCGGAAGTCATCTAGTCCAACCCTCTGCTCCAACAGCATTGTTAAAGTGAGTTTCTCTTTTGACCCACCCAGTCACATGACCAATAGCCACGCCCCCCCCAGCCATGCCCACAGAACTAGTAGTAAAATTTTTTGAATCCCACCACTGTATTGCATTGCTCACTTGCAAAGAAGACCATCTTTGAAATTCTTAACATGCATAAATGATTTGCAGCCAGACCAGCTTCTTGAGTGTCAGCTGAGCTAAGGCAGGATAATTCAATAAGGTAAACCGTTTTGCAACTAGATCTTAAATAAGTACTGGTTAGGCATCAAACCTGGACTCTGCATAATCACAGACCACAGCCATTTGATTCTAAATTCAGTTCCTGGCTAGCCTTGGCTCCTAGAAAAGATTCGACTGGTTTTAACTATTTATTTTTAGAAGAAGGAAAAAAGAAACCTCAAACACAATCATGCAAAGATGTTAAGAGATTTTATATATTTCAGAATTTAAATTTTAGATTTCTTCCTCACTCTTTTGGCATTTCCAAATACTTGGTGGTTTACTTGAGGGCCAGAACTTTCCCAATGTAATACAAAACTGATAAAAGGCTTATAATATAAGTACTAAGGCAGGCCCTCCCTATCATTCCTTCCTTCCTCCCTCCCTCCCTAGGAAGGGACGAGGGAAGGGGGAGAGGGTGGCAGCGCAGCTGGTGGTCATGGCTTTCCCAAGTGGGGACACGGCAGAAGCTGTCCTGGTGAAAGAGAAGGGCTTGCGGGCTGCGGGGCCAGTGGGAGAGGCCAGGAGGCGGAGGTAGCAGGCGTGGCGCTGCTGCTGGGCTTACACACTGCTCTACTACAATTGGAACACAGTCAGCCTGCGGAGTCAGATGGTGCTGATCACAGATCAGCGGTGCACCAACCCCTGCGCACTCACTGTCTCCTGTGCAGACACCCAGGGGGAGCTCTCAAGGCCACTGGCCATCTTCAGGACGGCCCCGTTGGCCAGATCTAACCACATTGTGGGCTGGATCTGATCCAGGGGACTTGAGTTTGTCATGTCTGGATTAGGGAGTAGCTTTGAACATAGATATTCAGAATAAATTTGAACTATATATTGCATGTGAATTTGACATAAGAAATAAAAGTTCAAATAGGGAATAAAGTATTCAGTTACAGATATAGCAACTGCTGTGCTCTAGTGAAAAGCCTCCTTCAACCAAAGTCTCAAGATAACTTGCAATGAAAATTCCCAAGAGTTTAAGATAGAATACTACAGCTATGCAGCTGGGATGAATGTAAAAAGGTAGCTGGGCAAATATTAAAAGGCATTCAATACTGTAAACATCATTCTTCCCTATCCTGTCACTAAGCTGACTATACAAGTAACCTTTGAGGGAATTGGCCACTTGATAAAATGCAGACCACTGGCTTCGTGAACATTTTCAATTCCATTTCTATAATCCACTCTAGCCAATTCTATTACCTGCCCCAACAAAGCAGAGGAATGCAAGAATCAGAAGAGGGGATCCACTTGCAAAAATTCCAAACCCAAATTTGAAAAGAGGAGAGAGAAGAACAGCAGCCCAGAAGAGAAAGTTGAGCAGTGTCCATGGTCTTCTGGGAGGTTTAAATTGTTGTCCAGGAAATAAGCCTTCTTGATTATACTTCTCTTGTAAGGCATCCTTGAGGAGAGAAAGAAGTTTTCTTTAATGTTCTAATCACTTATGCTTTCTTCTATATATCTGTATATTGGTAAATACTGTAAAGTTTTTCAATTCAGAAAGAATATTGCTGGTAGAATTTTAGATGATAACGGTAGAATGGAAAGGACAGTTCCCCAAAAAGGAGAGAAAGTGAAGGCAAAAGATCTTTCCCTCTGCCTCTCCCTCTCTCTCCCAAAGGTATTTTTTTCAAAAGGCCACCGGACTCGCTTTGTTTTTGCTTGCAGACGTTTCATTTCTCATCCAAGAAGCTTCTTCAGTTCTGACGTCAAGCAAGCAGTTGCCTTTTGAAAAAGCCCCTTTGGATGACTGAAAATCTCCCATAGACATCTCTGTCTCTCCCTCCCTCCCTCTGAATTCAAAGTATACACAAACATTCTGTCACCAGCAGCAATCAAATGATTTCAGAAAGTCTAGACAACACACAGGACAGCACCCATTCAAATATGTTTGATCATTATTCTCTCACACTTTTCTACTTAAAACTCAAGACAAACTGTCCCAAATTAGATATAGGCTCAGATACTGAAGCATCAAAAAAGAAGAAAAGAAAAAGGTGCAATTCCAGATTTTATAATTTATTTTAAAGCTAAAAGTAGTCATTGGGGCAAGTCAGATTAGGAGCATTGTTCTAAGGAAATACACAGATATGATAGCAGGACAATTTTATTAACTCTCTTAAATAACTTTATAAATAATCATGTAACATCTTATTACAGAGCTCTCTTATTGCACTTAAAATAGAAAAAACACTTGAAGTTATCAATATTATTTATTCTACTCGAAAATAATTGTTCTATTAGCACATAGCTCTGCAAGTTTTTAAATGCAAACAATTCATTTATGCAAACAACCCATAAGCCATGGTGGCATAGTTGTTAGAATGTAGTACTGCAGGCTACTTCTGCTGACTGCCGGCTGCCTGCAGTTCGATTCTCACAGGCTCAAGCTTGACTCAGCCTTCCATCCTTCCAAGGATGGTAAAATAAAGAGCCAGACTGTTGGAGCCATATGCTGACTCTGTAAACTGTTTAAAGAGAGCTGTAAAGCACTGTGAAGCAGTATATAAGTCTAAGTACTATTGCTATTGCTATTTACCTTTTCCTGATAAAGTGTATGAAGCCACTTCGCTGCTTCTTTTTCATCCAAAGGGATATCTTCTAAAGGAAACCTTCTAGGTTATAGAAAAAGGGTTCAATAATTTTTTTTATTCGAGTGACAATAATTACAATAGGAAAATATCTTCAGAATTAAAAGATGTTAATATTGTTCTCTGTTTACCAGACCTCTATTTCCTATAAAAATGCATTTTATGAATGTACCCTTGCATTGTAAATAGCTAGAACATGTGACATATGAAAAATGTAGCAGTAATTCAATATAGCTATCACTTAGATTGCACTTAAGAGTATTTTTTCACTTTTTCTCAGTCTTAGTATCTTCATAATAAAAAATGTTTTTACAGATGGGCAAAATGCCATTACACTCTTAAGCAATAACTGTAAAATCTGGAACAATGGCTTCACCTCAGAAATTCTCATTTTGAAAATTAAAATCAGTGAATTATATTTACTAAATTAATGAAGAAGTGTTTTATATCTCCTATGCCAAGAACCCATCACCTCTGATTTTATTGACAATCTAACCTCAAAAGTTGAAATGCCATGGCTACAAGACTAAACTCTAAGCATCTGGTTGAAATCTTGTCTTCACCATAAATTCTTGCACAAGAGAAGCAGCAGATTAGAACAATTTGCATAACAAAGAACCCAAACAATGAAGTAATCTGGGATATGGCCCTCCCAAACCTGTTTAGGTGAACTTCCAATGATTGCATGTGGTCTTGTGCTTGAAATGTTCCTGGCAGAGTGGCCTTTGGAGTGAAACTGAATGACCATTTTGCTAAATTTTTTGCACAGCCTCTGTAAGATTTTTTGTATCAAATTAACCTTACAAAAATTTACTTAGGCTGCAACCCTATGCATACTTACCTGGGAATAAAACCCTCTGAACACAATGGAACTTACTACTGGGTAAACATATATAGGATTGCACTGTTTATTCATAGAAGGTTGCCGAAAGGTTGTACAAGTCTGAGCACAGCCATCCATTGAATATTTGCTTGTAGAATATCCACATTGAACCTAAATGGCTACAAAAGTGGCATACATCTGTAACCTTCAGTATGATAAATGGCTACATTATTAGTTTTCCCTTGCTGGACAATACTGTTCCAGGCATACTCTCTGCATAGAGCTCTCTAAATCATCTGTCAGTGCAAACTGTTATGGTCACATCCTGCAATAAATTTGCCACTAGAGGGAGCCGATAGCAAAGATCATATAAGGAACAATTTTCTTATCTGAAGCCAATCCTGAACATGGAAAAAAGCATTTGCCTCGTGCAGAATTTCTGCAAAATGTATTGAATTAAATTCCCCCAATCTAAGGTAGCAGAGGCGATATCTGCTAGATGTTCATCTCATTCAAATGAATTCAAAGACTTAACTAAGTCCTTACTGCTTTCTTAAAAATAGAAAGAAAGAATGAGGGCTGAGTATGGTTGCAAAGGAATGCATTCTATAGATTGGGAACAGCACCAAGGAAGGCCTCTTCTACTTTTTTCAAGATGTTTATTTGGTATGACATATTTTTGAAGTTTTGAAAGTTGTATATCTAGTGACCATAATGAGTTTTTATACTAAAACTGAAGTCAAGTGAAACAACAAGAGACTAAATAGCCACATTTAAAAGAAATTGACTATGTTAAATCCATATATTTGCTTCCGTCCACTAATATTCATAGTAAAACAAGTCTCTTCTAAACTAAGTCTGAAAAGCTAAAGATGGGAAAATATAGGTGTGGGTGGCCGTTTTATTGCAATAATTGGACACAGTGACAGCTCTCAGTTACAAACCATACTCACACACTCACCTAACACACATATCTGCTTCATATTTCTTTCCATAAAGAATTCCTAATAAGGATGGGTTTTTGTTTCCTCTGAAGTTTAATGTTACATCATACACTGCTGAAACTAACACAAGAAAGATAACATTATTGTTTCAATATTCACATAGCTGGAATTCAAGAGTTATTAATTATATTAAAAGGCACACAAACACTATTATATCTATATTTCAGAATAATGGCTACTAGTGGCAGCAAAGAGTTTTAGTGGTCATGAAGATTTTTGCAGCCCAGCTGTGGTAGCTCTAGAATTACATCTGTGGGTATACCTGAATCTGGAAGCCCACCATTCAGATAATATCAACCCCACATCTGTCTAAAAAAAAGGAGGATTGAAAGCCATGGTCTGAAAGTGATTTCAAACTTTGATTTGGATGCAGACTATGCCTTAGAATAATCTTGGACTTATGACCATTTGTTTAGTGACCAAAATTATGATAGCGCTGAAGAATGTTGGTTATTATTGTTTGCCCTAGTTCTATAGCCCACCACAACAAGTCCATGATGTCCCTATAATCCCATGGTGACATGATTGCAGGCATTTGGCAACTAGTTCACACTTACAACTGGTTGCAGTGCTCCATAACCACATGATTGTGTGGCTTCCTACTGGCTTCCTCAAAAAGAAAGCTGGCAGGGAATGTTGCAAATTGCTGGGGTAAGTCTCCCCCACCTGTGTATCTTCTCTTCCTCTCTCTTTCCCTCTCTCTCTCCCTTCCTCCCCCTCCCCCTCTCCAATAATTAGTCCATAAAATCCACTACATACATAAAACAAACTGTGATTAATTAACTAGGTAAGCACATCAATCGAAGTATAGCACATCTTACATAATATTTGAAAGAATTTGGCCAGAATCACTTGAGTCCGAAAGCAAAAATTGTAAATAAAAATGATCTAAATGACCAAGAAATTTAATTAAATGCGAAGGTAATAATTCATGGTGTTGATATTAGCATAAAATGAACTAACTGAATGGTAAGATCTATCTGGTGGTTTCAATGGCTGCTATGGAGCCAACAGAGCCAGTTCTTAAACATTTAGCATCACCCCACTGGTTAAAGGCCCTCCTAAATTTGGGGATGGTATTTTGATTTCAATATGTAGCAGGTTTAAAAGGGATGTGAAGCCTATTTAAAAATAAAGTCTTTTGGGAAATACATCAAATGTCATTTAAAATCTATGTCCTTAAGAATGTTTGATAGCTTCTACTGTATGCTTATGCTTTAGCAAGAAAGGAAACCATAGAAATTCCAGTTTCTCATGTATTGCTTTGGCCTTAAATAAAACCAAATCAAGAAAGCACCTGGGGTGGGTGTTAGGAAGAAAAAATACTTTTAATGCAATATGTTGAAATGTGTATTCAAACATTGTATTCAGACTTACTGATGTCAACCTGTCTTTACTTGTTAATGTGAAAGACTAATGTAAAATAATGTAATTGGTTCTCCATCAGGGAAAAGAAATGGAATGCATTTCTAAACCCATTTAGCTTCACTATTCACAGTACTCCCTTAATGCTGCTGGCTGGAAGAACGTAGTTAAATATTTAACCCATCCGTAGTATTTAATCAGCCATCTTTCCTATTTAACACCTTTTCCTATGTGGTATAACATGAACTTACATCTCACATGTGTGCTGCAAGTGTAAATTAGACAATGTTTGAACACCAGCCAGCTCAGAACACCAGCTTAGAAACGTAAAATGCGAAGTAGAATTATTAATTTCTCTGAATTAAACAAGAAAACTAATCGAAGTATTGAGGTTTACTTATATTATCAGGTTCACCATTTAAATACTAAACATTGTATTAATACAGATATTGCATATTGAAAATGTAATGACTATCACAACAATTAAGCTAAGAAACATAATATGCATATTCACAAACAGTATAAGCAAGGCCAAGGTACCTGTTCCCCTGAGACACTGGACAGCAGTCGTAAAACCTTTGGTTCTGGGCAACAAGTGATATTTGAGTTTAGGCAATCCTTTGGATTCAGCCACTTCCATACTGATACGATGCTTAGTTTCTGTAAAACGAGTTCCTTCACAGTATAACAGAAACTGTAGCACAGAAGGGGGGCAGGTGGAGAAATCTTGCATTACGGTACTGTTAAATTGTTTTACAAAAAGTTTTAGGGCATGAAGACAACTAAAATAAATAGGGGTTTAAATATGTTCAAAATATTTTGCTTTAGAATAAAGATTAGAAAACATTTGGAGCCTATAGCCTTTTTTGCTCCTTGGGGGTAGTGGGGAACATTCTGCTGCAAATACCTCTGCATATTAAAGTTTCTCAATCTTGGCAAATTCCAAGATGTGTGGACTTCATCTTCCAGAATTTCCCAGTCAGCATGCCGGCTAGGGAACCCTAGTCATTAAAGTCCACATATTTTAAAATTGCTATGGTTGAAGGAACACTATTGTAGGTGATGAAGGTTTCTCAACATTCTTATCTCATTTCCAGAGCTCCCCTTATTTCTAACAAACCACCTTCATTAAACTATCACCTACCCACAAACCAGCGGCAGTTTGTCCAGAACACATATTTTGGAATCAGATCACAGACTTGCTCACTGCAGTGTTATTGCAAAACCAACAATACCTGCAATAATATTTTATTCCTAAATTAGCGCTACCATGACTGGGCTGTGCAACAGTTCAAATGAGAATTGCATGATAACGAAGTTTTGTGCTATGGTTGTCTGATTTTTCCAGTCCATATATGAAATTAATGTCCCAGCTCCTATTGTTGAGTTAGATGTTCTGAAGCAGAATTCTGCTTGGGTTGCCTTGAAGTTAGAAGTCCTGCTGTGAAAAGGGGCCCCATTTAGACAGATCCCAAATAGCACAAAAATTCTCCGTATTGAAAGAAAGGACAATACAAGCTTGAATCTCTGAAAGCCATGGAGATGGTTTGTTTTACAGTGCTTTTATTGCACTCTAAAAGTGCACATTATACCAGCTGCAGTTATGACTGATCTGCATATACGTTATATCTGTCTGTAAATGATTAAAGATTGAATGTAATGATATCTCCTGTAAAAGCTATGGATTTAATTTAATAATATTATACATCTATGTATAATGGGAAAAACAGCCTGTGTACTGTATATAACCATATACGTCTTATGAAAACACATAAATGCAGTACACATACCTAAACAAATCAATATTTTTCACTATCCTATTAAAAGAGTTGATGTGCAGAACTTCACTTACCCACATATACTCGGGATAATCGGCTAGACGTTTCAGCCCTTCAATAACAGCGTCTCTATCTTCTTCCCATTTTCTTTTGCAAAAAACGATCTCTAAGAAGTACCATGTCCAGCCAATTATGGGTACAAACAATAGTTCTTTCTTTGCAAGAACTTTTGAACTCTAAAATACACACAAACATTATTTGTTCATCTGAAATATATCATTAGCAAATACAAGTCCTTTCAAATGTGTTCTGCAATAGCCTAACAAATTTCTCTAAAATTATCTATTTCCTGTCCAGAAGCTTGTGGTGTAGGTCAGGTTAAGCTAATAAATTTCCTAAGAGCACCCAACAAGTTCTTAGCAAAGTGTGACTTGAATATTGTGCCTCCCTAATTAAACTACATTGGCTCTCTTAGATTCAATTTATTTTAATTTAGTTCAATAAGTTAGCACACAAAAAATACACCTAGTCTGAGAGCTTCCTACTCTTGGATTTTAAAAAAACATACAAAATGTCCATTTCCCCAATTGCAAAGAACAAAACCATACGTTAAGACCACTCACCCCTAATACACCAAACCGTTCTGTCATTGTCCAGCCACACAGAAAATCTATTTCAAAGTTGTGGTTGAGAATAATGATGACGTGTTCTTTCCCAAACTTATCAATTGTGGCCTGCTCTGTGAATAAAGTGCATTCTGTTCCAGACCACCATTCCAGCAACATTACTAATTCTAGATCATGGGAGACAAAAAAAATAAAAAAATAAAGGATACTAGGTATGAGAAAGCCTGTATTACAACTTGGTCTTTGCTTGGTTAGTAGATATTAATTCTACAACTGCATTACTTACAGAGGACAGAAGAAAGCAATATATAGTCTACAAATCCTGATTTATCATTGTACAGGCCCAGACTCATATTTTAAAACAGCAAGTTTTCTAAATTTCAGCAGTGCTTGGAAACTTTAACTGAATAAAACTGACCAAGATTTCCAATATACTTTAGTCCTAAACAAGAGCATTATTTTTGTTAATAGGAAGAATGTCTCCCAAAAGCCCTTTTAACACCAAAGGAATAACATTGCCAACATGCCAGCTATTAAATCTATTCTGGTTTTTGCATAGGACTATATCTTTAGTCTATCCTTCCTTTCCATTCTGCAGCAAAATTTTACTCTCTTGACATTTCTTACTAACACAATATAACTTGAGGCAAAAATGAGAAGCAAAGCTGAAATACTGACTTCCCTAGGACTAGAGAAAATAGTGTATGTGTGTGTCCATGTGTGTGTTAATCTACTTAATCATAACTCCTACAATATTTTTCCAGTACTAAACACTGGTCATTGTTGGTTGAAAATTGAATAAATGGTACATTATGTTCTATAAGAATTAGGCAGCTAGTCCGAGAGTGTTTTAATAAAGTACAATTAAGGTGCACTGTTAATAAGTTCAGCCTTTAAATTTCTTCATTTTAATATTTTGTTTAAATATTTATAGATTTAGCTTGTTCAATCTGCTGATTGGCAAGCCTAAAACAGAATTATTTAGTTGTTTGCCTAACGCAAAGCTTTTTGTTCTCAGTGCTATGGATCTCAAAACCCATGAAATATTGCTTTAACATTTCTTTAACTGATATTTCTTAAATGTATTATGATTGCCTTCTTTTAAAATTTGAGTTGAAATGGATATAGCCCACTGGCTCAGTGAGATAGCCTGTAGGGTATTTCCTTAATGCCTTTTCTCTATTTGGAAGTTTGCATCTAAAGAAGAAACTTGTACCTTAGCTAATACTTGACAGCACATAGTGAAGTCACAATTAATTACCTCTCCATCTTAATGAACATCTGCAACAAATAATCACTTTAATAAGAAATTCAGATACACAAAGTAGATTTGCTATTTATAAACTGAACAAAAGGGTTAGAGAATTTGAGATTTACCATAATTGTTTCAGCTTCATTTGTTTAAATTTGAATATATAATTTCTATTTATACAAAGTTGTAGTCTGTTCTAGATTTTTCAGAATAAGGTCACTATAATCAGAACCTTTTAAGCTAGCACTGCAGTACAAATATATTGTATAAAGACCTGAGATAGGCACCAAGGGGAGATCAAGGTTGAGGGACAAGTGATGTCACAATTAAATTGTTTCTTGGATAACCTAGTTAAATATATTCCAATTCAACAGCAGTTTTGTTTCCAGCATCAATGTTGAAAATGCGTGCTGCAAAAAAGTTCTGTTTTCTCAAGATTTATCAGATAAAGAAATAAAAGGCATAGGAATTTCCTATATATTTCCTATTTATCCCAGCAGCTTCCATAACTGCAACTACACTTGGAAAATCAGAAAGATATATTTTGTGTTTAAGTCCATGCACAAATAATTCAGAGACACCACTTCTTGAGATAAGCCGTAGATCATCCCAGAGGTCTAATATTTCTGCGTGCAAATACATTTCTAAAGCGCAAGCCTTTATTTTGCTCCAAAAATGATCTTCTATAGCAGGGGTGGAGAACTTTTATAACTTGTGGGCTTCAATTCCCAGAATTCCTGAGCGAGCCATACTGGCTCAGGAATTCTGGGAGTTGATGTCCACAAGTCATAAAGGGGCCATAGTTCTCCACCTCTGTTCTTCAGTGTGAGAACAATCTGAATAAATCACATTCCAAGCTAATGCAGAGCAACTATAATATACTCACGGCTCCACAATGAATAGGAAAGGCGACAGTTTACTCGTCGATAAAACTGCTTGCTTATAGGCCAGAGGATTAGTGTGCATAGTTGGATGAAGTTAATGATGAAGCCACTCACAACAAAGACAAATCCAATCAGGAGGTGAACTATAAATTGAGTCTTCAGAAATGCAAGTTTGCCCATGATAGTCCCTTAGTAGCGTTTGCAAGGTCCTTCACTCAGAACAACAATCCTAATAAAGGAAAAAGAAATATTGCTTAGCAAATAAAATGTTTGTAATCTAGGGAGTAAATGGGGAGAGAGGAGAAAAAAAGACACAAAGAACTCTTCTAGTTCATGTAGCAGCTTGGGGACCATAAAAGACCATTTTTGTCACCAGGCCAATTCCATTCAGGTTCTCTCTGGCTGTGGGTCAAGAATTGGTTAGCACTCTATGTTACATATTCATTTCCAAGCAATAGTAATAGGAGCTCTTGCTATTAAATGACAACCCAATTGTAATATACTTTATAGCAAAATGGTTTTCCAAAAGGCCTAGCCTCTAAAGCCACAATATATATATAAAAAAATCACCTAGGTATGTACAGGAAAATACAAATACTTTGTTTCAGAGGTCTTTTAAGATCGAGAAACTGTAAATGTTTTGCATTGGCTCACTGAAATACTAATTTCAGCTCCTTAAAAAGGAATGGACTATTAGCTTTTCTTCCTTAGCCCCAGATAGAGGTGTCCCAAACATATATAGAAAGCGTCCGGCAACATGTACTTTCTATCACAGCCTTTATCTTGTGCCCAGCTTATGAGTGGAGCAGTCTTAAGTTATCTCTGGTTTGTATTCTATTTCAACACCATTCAAGGGCCATCTCATGGCATGTAAAATCTACTGGGTTTTGTCATACTTGGTATTGGAGAGAACCCAGATGACAAAGATAACAAAGAAAGAATAGATCAGCAGAATTTTGTGGTCAGCAAAAATACAAGTGGATAGCAACTTATTGAAATAAGGGGAGTAAGGGAAAAATGAGTATAGGCTTAATGGATGATACCTTGGCACACTTCTTCCCAAGTAACCTTTTTTTTTTTCAAAATTGATTAATATCCAAAGAAAAATGCCCTCAACCAACAGGAAAGCTTTATGTCTTACTTGTTTAAAACTAAGTATAATCTATGTTTGGAAAAACATTATGAACCAAAATCCAGTTTTTGAGTCAAGAAAAATTAAATCCTGTAACAGTTTACCTATTTTTAAACAGTCTGGAGTCTGCCCTTCGCAAAAACATATACACATTAATAATTCTGCATCACTCCCACAAAATTCCCTGTTGGGTTTTGTTGCAAAAATATGACCATCTCTCTGGAGAGTGTACTTTGGGGGGGGGGTGGTGGTTACAGAAGCCGAAAGAAAGAAGTAACAATTTTATTTGTATCAGGGAGCTAATCCAGCGGGCAGAGTCCCTAACATGTTTCTTTATTCCAGAAATAAGATTTGACATTTCAAATGCTAATATAACATCTCTGCTGCCGCATTTTTTCATAGGATAGAATCTGTTAGCTTAAAAGTATTTCCATTAATGTCAACACTGTTCAAATCAAATTATGATAGAAACCTAAAAGCTTAAACTCTTGTAACCATACATTAAGATTTAATTTTTGAGCACTTTTAAGGATTAGAGCTCATAAGACAAGAACCAACTGTCAGCTGGTTCAACCCACCCCCAACAGTTCAAACGGTTCTTCCAATTAAAAGTTGTGAACCTCAGCATGTGGACATCTCCAGGTGGTGATGATTAGTTGACCTTGGCTTACTCAGATAAAGGTTTGCAGTTGCGCAGAGAACGCCAAGCAAGAAATAGAAACCCTCCTCAGTTTATACAATATTAGTTAGTAACATCTCCAGCCTTCCCCTTTCCTCCCCCCGTTACTCATGACAGCCAGAAAGAAGATCTTGAAGGCTGACGCCAACAGTATATAGTTCAGACAGAATCATTGTGAAGTATAAACTTAGAACAGATGTCCTTTGACTCTTTAGTCTGGGGGAAAAACACTTTCTGGAGAAGGTGGGAGAAAAAAGGCTTACTATTGAAACCTTGGATTGGTCACACTGGCTATTAAGGCTGCTAAAAACTAAAATCTGCCACATCTGGGCAATTATAGTTTCTTCATTTCCATCTGTATAGACTAACCACTCTCCAGAGTGTTTTTCTTATTAACAATTGCTAAGTATGGGCTGCTATGTGGCAAGTGCTTATCTTTAGAATTTTAAAGTCCTGGCACGCTTTAGCTTTTTAATTTTCTATTATTTTGTCTATTTTTGTGGCCCCACCAATTCTTGTTTGCAGGCAAATAGTTTTTCTTGCAGATATTCAAATGCATCACTGCTGCTTTGTTGTCATGCCATTGTATGGAGTCAGTCTGTGCAAACCTCTTGCAGCAATTAACCAGGTGGCCCACTGTTTCTTCAAAGTATCAGCTGAAGAGACATTTGCTGTTTATTGCTGTCTTCTCAATTCTTGCTTTGCATGCATTTCTTTCTAAAGCTTGGGCTTCTGCAGCCAGAATTAGCCCCGCTGCCTCCTCCTTCAATTTTCCTGCATTTAGCCATTGCCAGGTCTTGTTATTTGCCTGCTATTTTTTTTAACATACTGGCCATATAATTAATACTTTGCCTTGTCATGTCTCTTTTCTATTCTTCATTTAGCTTTTCATGTAGATCAGTTTGGCTTCTCCAATATTCAGTAAGTCTTCATGATGAACTACCTTCAGTGCATCTTAATTGTCCTTCAGTTATTCCAATGACCTTTTTATTTCTTCAGTTTTCTGGTATACTTGCCTCAATAATATTTCCTCTCCTGATTTTGGACTTTAAGATCTCCTACATTCTTGGAATGTTATTCACTTTTAATCTTCTTGACTTCAGTGTCCTTGATGAGGTCTGCTTGAAATATCCGTAGTGACCGTCTTCATCCAGACTTTTACAGGGAGGTGACTGAGGCATGAGTGACTGAAAGAGACCCGCAGTCTAGGAATGGGCGTAACTGGTGCACAATCTGAAGTTATGCAAAGACCCTCCTAGCCAAGATTGCTACCTGCTCATTGAGCAGAATTCAACTGTATAACCTCATTCAGCATCAAAAATGGCATAATCACAGAATAGAAGGATCCCAAACCCAAAGCCATTCAGTTTTTCCAGAGTTCAGCCTCCGGAGGGCAGAGCTGACATTGCAGTGATATAGCGGAATCCTTAGGGGCTCCTAGGGAGGACACTGAAATCCCCAAAGCTGGTGGTTTATTGGACCTAAATCGTCCCAGAGGGATGACGATTGAAGAGAGGACACTCTGCTGATCCCAGGGATACCGCAATATCCCTGGTAGATCCAGAGATAGCCTCTCTAGCCGACTTGAAAGGAAAGCGCTACATGGCTGGGACAGTCTCAAATGGAAAGAAAAAAAGAGAAAGTGTGTTCGAACTAGGTGAGAATTTGAAAGCTTTCTTTAACATCACAGAAAAGAGCCCCCTGGGAAGAAAAGGGAAAAGAGAAAGCCAGAATTAAAGGGTGGTGGGGTAATTCCCCCCCCTTGGAAGAAAGCGGTGAGGAAGGTTGTTTCCGGCACAAATAGAAAGAGGAAGCCATTAATTATGGAGTAAAGAACAGAAATTTCTTTTATATTTTTCAATAACAAGCATCCTATAAGTAATTTCTTTTCCTTCTGTCCCATGTACTTGCTCCTTTCTGTCCCCTTAGATTACTCCATTTGATTCCTCAGCCACAGACATATATAGGGATGCTGTGCAAAAATTGGCATACTGCCCTTTTGTATGGATGATTATAACATTGGTTGGCCAAAAGTCCTAAAAAGGAGGGAAGAGAGTTTACTTTCATACAGCATCTCGCCTGAGTAACGCAGTGTCTCTGCTGCAACTAATAAGTTCTTTAACAGTTCCCTGATTTAGTCAATCATTTTGTGATTCACTCAAATTCAAAACATTGGATGTTCAGGAATTAAATCTTTTTCTCTATCCAAATGATTTCACACATTTGGAGATTTGGAATAGGAAGGAAGGCAACTTTATTTCACTGGAAAAGGCAAGGAAAAAAACAGATAGGAAAAAAGTTCTTAATATCAAGCTTTCATGCCTTGAATAGCTAAACACCTTGGTACTCAACTGCTTTGAAATTCATCAAATTTGGTACTGAACACATTTTGTCATGAAATTTTTTTCCCAATACTCATCATTTGCTTGGTACTCAATACACAAGATAGAACTTGTTGGTTCTTGTGATTCATTACATTATTCCTTATGGGAAAAATCTGTTTGGTATTCATCTTTTTTTGTACCCATCACGTCTCCTGGAACCAATTACTGTTGAGTACTGAGGTACCACTGTAATCTTTTATGTATTTAATTGTTTTAAATACATAAAAGATCTTTACTTTACTAGGTCTGCATTACAGAAATTAGATTCATTGTATTATTTTTTCTAAACATCTAATCTATGTGGCTTGATCACTACTGCTATTAGGAGTTTTTATAAGGCATCTTAGTAACAGAAGTCTCCCAATTCAAATAACAGGAAAAGATGCCAATTGTATTGGTTAGGATTAAGTATCTCTACAACTCACACACATGAACAGTTATAAACATTACGAGCAGAAAAATACACCAAGATGAGCTACATAACATTGCATTTTGGAAAGTAATCGGTATAAGAATTGGGGCATTTTCTATCATAAACGCTATCATCCAGGACTGGCGGTGGATTAGTAACTATCGTCCACCACACCTCCCTCCGCAAGTACATCTTCACATTCCAAGAGAGGTAGTTTGTCCCATTCAGCTGAGACACCAAGAAACCTCCTCGCATTACGCCCACGGAAGCCATGTTACCTGCTTTCTTTCACAAGCCACTAACCACGATTAAACCACATTGCACAACCCCTCTAGCTCTGGTGCAAGCTCTCACTAGGTCTCTCCTCTCTCTAGTCTCTCCCATCACCATGGCCTTCTCTCTTTTCTGGGCCCATAACCTATCAGTGTGTTTACAGCATGACTCCTATTGTAAGACAATCCAGGAGTAAAACACAGGACACAGAGGTTTTGTCTTTTAACAGTGGTTTACAGTGAAACTCAAAAAATTAGAATATCGTGCAAAAATTCATTTATTTCAGTAATGAAACTTAAAAAGTGAACCTAATAAGTGAGATAGACTCATTACATGCAAAGCAAGATAG